ATTTTACGCAATAGCATATTTTTTCGTTTTGTAGTCTGTACGTAGATACGCTATCCATTTGGGTGTAGAAAAAATTGTTTTCTAGTACTAAAAATATTTAAAAATAACATTGAGTAAAATGATTTATTATTAGTAAAAGAAGGAATAAAAATAATCATTTTTATTGACTATTGGTCGGATTTCTACTCAAATTTCTAATATCTAAACCTCTAGTGAAACGTGGATCTAAGATCTCGGGTAGTATACAATCTAAATAAAATTGCTTTAGTTTGTTTTCCATATACACCAAAATCTATCATCTTTTTTATTTTTTCTACTAACATACTTAAAGGTATTAAAATAAATAAAAAAAAAATATTTCGTTTAGTTACGTTAAGTTGCTCCTGAACAATTATTGCATTTTCGCATTATCATTAATAATTGCAAATTTTATTATGTTGTCAACCATTGCTTTTTTCGGAGTCAGTTTTGAAGCAGTGGCAGGATATTTAATTTCGATAATACTGTCTGTTCCTAATAAACCGTCGGAATCTAAAAACCATATTCAGAATCCACAAATAAACCACATTTATTGGATATTCGCTTTAAATTTGTAAATATTGCTTTAAAGCTAAAGGTTTTTTTTTATTCAATACTTAGTATATTAATTTCCCATATATTTTAACTTTAATGCTTAGAAGGGGTGCTAATGTTTGTCTTTTTCTAAGTAATCTAGCACGATATTTTATAGATTTCCGTCTAAACGGAAATATAATTTTCGGCATTTCCGAAAGTTTTCCCATTTTTATCACAAATTATTATAACTCAGCTTACACATAAAAGTTCATATAAACACATTGACTAAATACGAAACAAAAACACCTACACTTGAACTAAAAAGAATAAAGTTTTTTATTATTTTATTTTTATCCCAATTTTCCGGTACTGCATGCACCGCCAACGTCCGCCGCCTTGTTGCCAAATCAATTAATATGAATTGGAATCTTGACAGATTTTCTCAGATTTCCTAATTCAAGGTTTTCAAAAAATATACGCTTTGGACAAAAAAGTATATTGGAAAGAATTAGCTGATTTTTATATAACAATTCCCGGTAAAGACTCCTTTTTGCAATAATTTTCATAATTTGTATAGAAATAATTAAAAAATTAGTTTTTCTGAATTCGGGCTCTACAGCGGAGTTCTCTATCATTTGCTTAGTAGGTATACCAAATTTTATAAAAAAATATTTAAAACTGAGAAAGAGAACCTTGAAGTCGTTTTAAGCCTGTTTCTAACCATGGATATCGCTCTTAAGAAAAAAATTGCAAAAGAGTTGCAAAACTTTGAAGTAACAGCTATTCCAATTTACAAGCTTCTGTTTCGCACGAAAATATTTTTTGTTAAAAAATGGGGAAATAATTTTATATTTTCCGCCAGTTTTGCAAAAAAATACAAAATTTTTAAAAATTGGTTTCAAAATAAATGCTAATATTATTTTTAACAACCTGGTAAATTCAACTTTTGAAAAAGTCACGACCTTGAAAAATTGACAACATTGACAATTCACACTTTTTGCAGTTGTAAATAAATTAAAGAAGTTTGGCTAATTTGCAAAGGTTCCAAGATTAATACAAATAAATTGTCTATGATCAACTTTGCATTGCGAAAGTAATGCAAATAAAAAATACATGAACTTTTTTTTGACCCCTAGAAAGAAATCGCAATAATTGTACTAGTACACAAAATTTGATATTTCTTAAATTATGAAATCATTAAAAATATAGGGATGTTAAACAGCACACCTTCAGGCAACTTTGGAATGAAATTTTATTTCCCAAAATAAATCACCAGGTATTCACAAATTTTTTTCCAAATAATTAACCTTGAATTTAGTTCACTGCAGTAAGTAACTTCACTATTTAGGGCTAGGCACGTTAATCGATCCTTTATAAGAGCATCGGCACACTAGCGGCCTAGTAGCACGGCCAGGTCGCCACAAAAATCGGTTGACCGCAACAACATCAAGTGTCAATCAACAAAATAGTTAGTCAAAGCAGTTGTAAAATAAATACCGGGAAAGTACTTGCTACATGATACCAGGCCTCTTTTATGACTAATGTACTGGCCGCGGTCGGCGGTATAGTCGACAGCTAGTGTGCGCTCGTCTATTTGATGCAATGTAAATAGCTGATCGTGCTGACACTTGATCGCGTGAACGACGCCACAGATAGTAGCCAAGTGTGCGGTTTACATACATTTAAAGACTGTGTAATCATTTTGTTGCTGCGACTTAGCCGCGCGACCTGGCCGCTAGTGTGTAGGCGCTCTTAGTATTCGTGTGTTTGTAAAAACTATATTTTTTGGATTCCAATGTACTTTATAGGTTTTTGTGCTTTTACAGTCTACATTTATTTCTGAATATACTGAAACATTTATTAAAAGAAACAAAATATCACATCAAAAATGTTAATGATAAAGCCGAACATCCAAGAGAGCACAAGAAATAGGATAATAAAATAAGATAAATTCGGTAAATTGACAGCTTCCATTGTCATGGTTACTTTGCTTTATTTAGAAAAAATTACGTTACACTATCACTCTCCGTAATAGAATATTTTATCTAATTCAAATACTATTTTGGCGGGACATTTTGTATCTCATTTTTTTAGACATACTGGAACACGTGTGGCAAAAATAAGATCGTGGTGGCATTTTTAAAATATGTTACCTACACAATAAGGAAATTCACCGCATACACAAGATAAATAATCAACATTTATTTTGTATGTAACGTTCTATGAAATTATACAGCAGTGTCAAAATAAATAATCGTTTTGAACTACCGTTATTCCATATTTTAGTTAGTTTTTATATCTTTTGATCTACTATAAAATCATAAGAATCTCTAATAGTTTTGATTCCTTTAATGTTCGGCACTACTAATTGACTTCCGATATTTTAATCTATTTTTACATGATTATTTAGACATTAACGTAATTTAACGAGAACGCATGTTCTTTATTAGCCATTAGGGGTAAACGACCGTGTTGTTAATATATTCCCATTTTCTAGAGAACAAAGATGTTGTTAGTTTAAGAGAAATAATACAGGATATGCCAAGAGTTTTTCACAATAACTTTTTAAAAGAATACAAAATCCCTTAATTGGAAATTTAACTACTTTCTTTAACATGCCAGACATATAGGGTTGCCAGATTTCTGAAAGTGAAAAGCGTGACAACCGTGACGATAGAGCATTTTTATATAATCAGGTCCATTTTTTGTGAACATTTCTAAAAAAAAAGTCAGCTAATTTTTCGTAAAAACGAGGATCTTTTACCCGGACATTTGTCTATTTTGTATAAATTTGGTTCCTCTGTGGCTTTTAAAAAGCGTGGCATTTGCATAAAAAGCGTACAAGCAAGTCAAAAAGCGTGGCAATAACGCCAAAAGCGTGACGGGCAACCCTACAGATATAATGGGCGTAAACAACATAAGACCGGGGCATTGGGGAAGCATGGTGGAAGTAATTAATCCGAGCACATAAGAGTTATCCCCCCTTATTTTTGAACTTAAATTTTTCATATATTTATAAAGATATTAAACTCTTTTGTCTTGTATACTTTTACATTTAAAATATTTTATTTAGAAGTAGGGAATACCTAAAAAAAACTTTCAGTGACTCATTTCAGTATATATGCAGATTTTTGGCGTATTGAATTTTTTTAAAAAAAGCGAAACAACCGAAAAACAAATAATTTTAAATCGATCCGTCATATAACTTTCGAATATAAATTCGACTGAATTTGGTTCTACTCTGACCAAAGTCTAAGAACTACTGGTCGTCATTGAAGAGTTTGAAATGGGAATTATTTCAAATTAAACTAATGTTTATTGTACAATACCACAAGGATCCCATTCAGACCCCTTACTGTTTATCTTATTTAACAATTATATTTACAACGTCAAAACAGATGCTAAATTCTTAATCTTTGCAGATGACCCAAACTATATTATGTAGTGAATATCATTCTCACTCTAGTTAGTAAAATTTTACAGAATGACCTTAAAAATATACAAATGGTCTATGTTTAGAAAAGTGTCTTTGTTTTGTAAATATTTTTATTTAGTTTAGTAGTATTTAATCCATGTTTAGTTTCAGTGCGTGAGTGTAGTGTTACACAGAAAAGAAGGTGTACTATATTCAAGATGAATGGTCTTATTTCAATGCTTTGTTCTGTTTGTATATCCGCAAGTAAAACTCGTATCGATTTGTAACTGTAGTAATACTTGTTCAACAATAGCTAATAAGCCTTGCTTCAAGAATAAAATCAACTTGCCCTAATTAAAATATCTCTAATTAAATGAACAGTATCTATTGCTCAATTGCAGTATAATGTACATCTTAAATAAAATAGTCAACACTTTTTTTAAATATTTATATTTATATTCAATAATACCTTATTCTTAAATCCAATACAACTAATTTTGTTACAATAATAATATGAACTGTTCCAAGAAATGTTAATATTGGCTTTGACATAAATATATTAATTTTGGTTGAATTATACGATAGTTTTATTGAAAAAATTAATAATCTTGAAATAAGAACAGGCTGTTCTTGCTTTTTAATAGGGTTCTCACTGGTACCACCTATCCATCGAAAAAAAAATTTTCAAAATTGGTTTTAGTTAATGTACCAAATTCCTCGGTCCTCTGAGGTGTCCCACCTATAATTCTATTCTATTTTTTGCATTATCTATAAAATTGTTTTATTATTCCTGTTTACATTCATATATTTTGTGAATTACTGTAAAATGGTTTAACAGTAAAAAAAAATAAATAAATATGAAATCGTGTGGCCGATTTTAATGGACCTTCAAATAATACCTGTAAAAATATTCCTTTGGAAAAAACTGATACTATTAATGGATATATGTAGGATTAAAAAACAGATCAAAACTACGTTTTTCCATTAAATGTTTTTATCACCTTCCCTTTAAAATAAATGCAAATCTTACCTTTGTGTCTGGTCCTATTGAATGTCCCACCACTTTGTACTGGAACTGCCAATGTGACGTTGACAGAGCTATATTGTCGCTGGGTTTTGAACGCCCCTTGACTAAATGCCACCCATACGAATACTACCATCGCCCCTAGCGCTAATATAGCGCAACTAGCTAGTACCTGCTTCTTCAAGAATTTATTCGTCATCGCAGCAATTGTTATCTACGTAACTGTAACAAAAGAAAAATATTTTGGATGATATTCAATTTGAATAAAAGCTTTTTAAAAAACTATTTGACTTAAAAATCATGCCATATCACTAAAAGGTTTGAGTAACAAATTTCGAAATTACAAATTTCGTTATTAACTTTTAGCCCATAGTCCGCCATTTTAACCTTTCTTGACCAAATGTTGATCATTATTTTTAATTTTACATTGTATGATATAAGAAATTTAGTACAAATATTTCGAAAATATTAAGAGAAAACCATCTTCATAGTTAAAATTGTCTAACCCTGTACACTGAAAACCAATAATAATTGTAGTCCATAAATTTGTATGAAATGTTATTAAAATCGCCTCTGCAACCGCCTCCAAAATATCTACATATTATTTTGGAACACCCTGAATTACGGCATCTTTGGAGTGTAAACATATCTGTATCTGTAACGTGTGGAGGGTGACACTTAGGCTTCACTAGGCCCATTGTGCATAACTCCTAAGTAGATAGGGACCTCCTAGCTCGTAAGCCAGCCTACAGATTTAATGTGTAGTTGACAACGTCGTCAAGAGGTGCTTCTCTTATATCGGCCGCTGTTAGCCATTTCTCGCCGAACACAAATCTTTTAAAAAATGAGAGCGTCGGGCAATCGTAGAGGATATACTCGATACTTTCATCTTCTTGTTCGCACCCCCTGAAGTGTGCGGATTCTGACAATCCCATGATATGGAGATACTTTCGTACTTGGCAATGACCAGTCAGAATGCCTGTGATCAGGTGCAGATCCTGTCTAGACATAGTCAAGTATTTTTACTACAGTGTTGTCAGGATAACTTAAAAGCTCACTGGCAACTGTGCAGCTTCTTGTTTTATCCCATCTTCTCTTGAATTTCACGAGGGAATGTTTTTCATTGAATTAGGTTTGTCACTATCGATGTCCAATGGAAGGGCCAGGTCCAAAAAGTATTTGGTTGGTTGCCTTCTCGGCTAGTGAATTAGAAAGACGGTTGCCTTTTGATTTGATTCAGCTTAAGGTGACCACATTGTTGAAAGATACTTCGTGACATTCTAGTGCTAACTCTGAGTAAATATGTGGTCTGTCCAGGGTGAGTAATGCTTGTCTACTATCTGTATATATGAGAACGTTTCTTCCAGTGATAGTTTCTGGTGATTTCTTTTGCTGCTATCAGAATCCTCATGAGCTCAGTTTGAACTACACTGGCATGTTTAGGTTTAAAAATCTGGAGTATATTTCACATCCTGAGCCTTGTTTTGTTTTAGAACCCTCGCGTCGATGTAGATATGAATCGAACCTGCCACTTTCGGCTTTTCTATTTGTTCTGTTAAAACTTTTTATGGCTTATGGAAGAGATGGAGTCATGTTCGCTTAAAGCAGTGGGATCTTATCGAGCGCCTCCTACCAAGAACGACGTTTCACCTCACCAGATCCTACATCAGGTTATATTGCAACCGTGCGGAGGCTTGTCATTTTTATTAGATGAACCTCCTTGATGTAAATATCAAGGGTAATGAGACTAAAAATTACTTCCATGGCTCTGGGTGCGGTGTTCATGGCTCCTGTTATGTTGAATGTATACATGTCTAAATTATTTACTCATTTTGTAAGTCGCCGTGGAGTTATAATTTTTTATTAATATTACAACATCAAAAACTTCAGAACAAACCAGATTCATTAGTATTTATTATTTTAATGTCAATATATTCTTCAGCAATTTAGAATGTGGGTCTAGATGTTTAGGTAAAAATAAACACTCATTTTTAAATTGTATGTTTTCTAAGAATAAACAGGGAAGTGTAAATCAACTTAAATACCCCTACGTGAAGGAAAGCAATATTTAAAAGGATACTCTGTATATATTGTCATGATTTTGGTCTTGTATCCTTGGAAATGTCTTAGAGGTAGCGCCGATGGTACTAGATTGTGGTTTTGTTGGATTTTGTTTTTGAAAGGATTGATGTTAGAAAAATTAGATTGTCAGATGAGGTTTTTAATGATGGTTTCAAAAAAAAAGAGATAAGAGTTAAGTTTTTTGTAATTTTTTTTTGGTAAGAAATTTTTTAATAAAAGAAATATATAAATAAGAAGGTAAAAAGATTTTAATTTAAACTGGAAAAAACCATGAACTGAAGCAGGAATCAGAGAAGGAGACAAATGTAGGAGTCGGCAGAGGAGATCAGTGGGAGGAGGCAAAGGAGAGTAGTAAAAGGAGGTAGAGCAGGAGTCGAGAGATTCCGATAAACCAGGAGTTGCCATCGGAGTCAAAGAGAATTTTTTTTAGATATCAATAATTATATAGTTCTATTTTTTAATTATTTGTAGGGAGCCATAGGAGCCAGACCCAAAGTTTTTTCTGAAAATTGGAATGGTTCGATCCATCCTGACTCCAGCAGAATGGTATAGAAACAATGCTATCGAATAGAAAGAAATAAAATAATACGCCGCCGAGTGCGGGCGCAATATTCCATTCTTTCGGAACTAAGGAAGCATTTAAAACAATTACTTTCTTTATTGCTCTCACGTCCAAATATAATTAGGCGTCTCATCTTTATATTGCCTAATGCGTCAGTTAACGTACTATATTTTAAAATATCCTAAATACTTATAAATATCGTGATGTAGATCTGATTGTTGCTTGTTATTTATATTCACAACTTGATTTGATTTAAGAGTCTACAACATTATATATTAAAAAAGTCACGAAATGGTAGCATCTTGTTATCTTAAATCCATATATCTTCTGCATATCGACCAATAGTCGAACGAGTATGTTGCTCTTTATTTGTAACAGTAAAAACACGACTCTTGTTCATCTTCGAATCAATAATATTTATTATTGAAACTGAATCATTGTCTTCAGCATCGTGAATTGTCCTTATATACGTTTGTCACGTCTGCACGCACCTGCAATACCAATGACTGAAATCACGTTAAAATAAATTATTTTATCATTCTGTACAAAATTATATTGCTTTGCTTCTTCTCTAGTAATAAACATTTCCGACCAACTCACAAAAGACAATTAATACATCAATATCGGTTTTTTACATACAGGGTGTGTTTGATTAGCAATAAAATTATGAGAATTGACTTAAACATTCTCCAATGTTGATGGTTTAGATCATTATTTTTAACATTTGAAACCTATATTTTTTAACCAATCAAATGCATGTTTTCTACCGTCACCTATAGGATATAAATTTAACTTTGAATAGAAGTGAACAAATACCCAATACAGTTATTAATTTCTTTTACATTTGACATTTACAGTATTTCAAGTCTTCAATGTTATATTTGTCATAAATGTAACATATTATGCATGTTAAATGAACCACAGTTATCATGTAACTGTTATCTAGTGTATGACAGGTCACAGAAAAACGACGTTGGTTGAGAATTGTACGATTATTGATTTTCGGAGTTAAAAATTGGCAACTTTAGGTTTACTAAAAATGTCAAAATATACAGGGCCCTCCCCTAAAAAAAAAAAAAAGTATTATCGATCAGAATTGGTTTGAATATGTCATTTATGATGGATATATATCTGTTTTATATCCATTTTGTTTATTAACCAACCAAATTTATATGGAATCACTCTGTATTTCTGAATAAAATTTTTGCAAGAAAGAAATGTTGTATCCAACTTTAAGATAAGGCTTTTTGTTCTAAACAAACATGATAATAAAGAAGAACTGCTGCGATTTACTATCTTGTGAATTTTGTGTTCAGTAGTAAAATCACGATTCTCCGGTAATTTTAATTCGGTCCAAAACAAAAAAATGCCTTATATTGAACTAAAAGATGTGCAGAGGAGAAGAATTATTGCTCTCATTGAACAAGGAATGGCCCAAAAAACGTAGCAGAGGTAGTAGGCGTTACCCAGTGTTGAATCGAAAACACACGCAAGGTACTTGGAACTAAGAACTCTCAGAAACAGGCAAAGTCGTCAAAGAGTCACAACTAAACAACAGGACCGTATTGTGTACCAAATTGCTAGAAGAAATCACAGTGTTTCTTATCCAGAGCTGCAACGACAACTTCTGGAAGCTACAAGTTTGAAAGTTTCAGATGAAGCCATAAGAAAAAGACTTTGCGCTCGAAGGTTGTACAGTTACGGGTCTGACAGTTATCTAAACAAAATAAAATTGACCGGCTAAATTGATGTCTTCAGCACCAAAACTAGACAATTGAGAATTTTTTCGGATGGGACCAAAATTAGCCTAAGATCAGATGACCATCGAATTCGGGTTCTTAGAGCTCCAGAAAACACCAGCAAAACTACAGGCTGCCAGATCTGTCCCAAGATATCAATAAGGAACTGTTATGTTCTGAGCAGGTATTAGTTGGGAGCAAAAACTCCATTGTTACTACTTCAACAAACTTTAACCGGTCGGAAGTATATTGATTTAGTCCTAGAGCCAATCGTTAGGCTTTGGAGAGCTGCAATTGGGGATAATTTTATCTTCATGCGCGATAATGCACCTCTCCATACCAGCAGAGTAGCTAGAGCATTTTTGAAATGGAAGGTGTCATATTTTTAGACTGGCCTGAATGTTTACCAGACCCAAATCCTGTCATACACTTATGGGACCAGCTCAAAAGAAGGATTAGAGCTCGTCAAAACAATGTAGGACAGGTCGCACAGCTTATTGATGCATGATTAGCAGAATGGAAAAACATACCCCAAGGCAATGCTGACAATTTATTAAGAAGCATGCCAAGCCGAATAGCTTGCACAAGGGCTGTAGTTGCCAACATGGATTATTAAAATTACGAATTTTCTTTTAGTTTTTGTTTTGTTTTTGCTTTCTGACCATTAAAAATTTAAAACTCATTTCATTTCAGAAACATATACCGTTGTGGTTATTATGTCACCTAATTAATTTTTTTTATTGATATATGGGTTATTTTTCATTAAAAGTCTTTGGTAAAGACTGAGTTTTATTCATAACTATCATGGAAGAACACCTATGATCAAAGACAGCCACTGA